TGCACTTCTGATACCATGCTTTCTAGTTTATCTTTCGCCTCTGCATTCTTCTAACCGGTTGCGCTTGGAGCAACTTGATTCTTTCCCCCTTGGTTCATCTCTGTCGGCTTCAGTGCTTCATCAATGATGGACTTGAGCGCGTCCGGAGTTAGCTCAGGCTTCTTTGCGATGTCTTCCTTGTTCGGAGGAGCTGGCTGCTTTTCACTTGTCTTTCGTGTGAGTTGCTCCAGTGTCTTGAGAACTTTGTCCATCTCCCGTCGGAGCTTAAAGATTTCTTCCTTTAGATCCGCCGTAAACCACAGTCGATTTTCCGGTGGGGGGAAATCATTCCGTCTTTGCTCCCTCAATGCTCTCGAGAACCACCTTGGAGATTCTGACTCCGCCCTTGTTCTCCGTGACGATGGTGATCTTGACTTATGTCTTCTATCTCTCAGAGTTTTCGATCTCCCCCTTCTTGAGCGCTTCCTCCCTTGAGATCCGGAAGATGATGATGAGTGTCTGCGCCGCCTCCTGTCCGACGATGATCGCGAACGCGACATCTTCCTTGAAGCTTTGGAACGTCAGGTAGGTAGTCTTCGTACTTGAAATCAATACAAAACCCCACAATGTCATTGATCGTCTTCAATACACACCAGATAAGTAAAATAGAATCTCCAAAAATCGCCGAGTAATCTCTACGCTATAGTAATCTCCAACAAATCGCCACTATGATATCATGAAAGAAAAGGGTTACGAATGATGAGAGAGAGATAAAGACAGTGAATGTAAAATGGAAGAGTGACAGATCTATACAGTGTCAATCATCGCGGGTACCGCCCGCAAGTTCTAAGCACCGTGCATAGAGATAAACACATGCAAATGTAGACAGAATGTTCGAGGTTTTACTTTTACAGCATACACATGCAAATGTAGACAGAACGTGCGAGGTTTTACTTTCACAACATACACGTAATGTCCATGGCATGCGACACCAGTCACGATTACCCTTCTACCTCACTGCTCAGGTAATCATTTCAGCCACTATTCTCAGTATTTATACCCTTCGTTCCGAGTCCTTCTCCACCACTTTCCCTATCCTTACAGTGTACTCATCATCTATCCTCAGGATCTCCCGCAGTCGCTCTCTGTGTTGTCCTTGTCGTCGTCGATTTCCAACATGCCTTCAATCTGGAACTACTTTCATCACATCTAATGATTCTGTGCGTGCTACTCACGTACTATCCTCTCTGTCGGAGTTCCGTCTTACTATGGTACTTGCCTATAACTCCGCTGTTTTTTTATACTGACTCGAATCTGGCCTTGTTTGTTGTTCTGTTCTTGTTTACTTTCATGGTCGTGGATTTTCCTTCATTTACAGGTGAGTATTTTTTCTTTATTGGTTCGTTTCCACTGCTTTAGGTCTTTCATCTTCTATCTGTTTCGTATGTTTGAAAATGTGAGCAACACTGTTACGTCGTTATATCTGCAGAAATTTCGTGATATTCCGGAGTACTTGGTCGTGTATGTTTCTTTTTCGTCCCTGAAAATTTATTTTCATTCCGTGCAAAATTATATTTTTGATTTTTTATTTTTGATTTTTCGATTTGTAATTTTAGCTTTATATTCCGAGTCGTGTGAATTTCTTGACGTATTTTATTCCGGGCTTTCAGTTTTATATTCGTCGATTTGGTGCTTCTTGCTTTTCCAAGTACTCCTG